TGAGTGGAAATTCGGTTCTGTTATTTGTGGTTCCGTCTTGGCGAGACGCAGGATGGCGGGGTGGCGTTGTGTGGATACTCTTCAGGCTACGCACCAGATAGGTCGTCGATATCGATCGACTAGGGGTGTGGTTATTCCTTTACGGGGGGGGTCTTGTTTTGTTCCTTGCGAGGCTTGACCGCTTCCTATAGCGGGGGAGTTGCCGGCTTCAAGGTAAGCGTCTGGATAAGCTTGTTTGGGTGTGTTATGCCTGCCGGTGGACTCGAAGCTTGCTAGGAGGGTTCATCCGGCAAGGCCAAGAGAGTGTGTGTATCGGCCGATTATATATCGGAAGTTTAGGTGACGGCTTTACTGTGCCTATTTGCACGTGTTGGGAGAGCGAGTTGCCTTTCGTATATTCTTCCAGCCGAGTGTTGAACACTCGGCGCCCTCGTAAAAGGCTCACCCGTGCCTGATACCCTTCCGCTGTTGGGACCACGAGGATTCATAACACCTACTAGCTTTGCTCGTGCTAGTAGCGTGTTCTTATTTTTACTGGTTGGCCTATACAAGCGATTTGCAGGTCCAGTCTGTCCCGGCGCTAGGGCAGAAGCTGGATCTTCAGATCACGTTCGTTTCCCGCTCTGGTAGGCATATTGTTGTGGATTTATCCGCCGCCTCCCCACTCGCGCTCTTTTTTTTTTCTACATGTCAGCACAGACGATCCGCGGTAGTCGCGCTGGGAGTCCCAAATTTTTTTCTGTTTAAGGGTATTCCTATCCAGAATGAATAACAAAATTATATCCGAGCATATTCATCTTGACACATGCACAAATTTATTAATAGATGTAGCTCGTTATTGGTGTACCATTTCGTCTTGCTCTCCTATTGTTAGTTGCCTCGCCACACCAAGCAACACTCCTCTCAAGACCAGCCAGCCCTCCTCATGTGCACCAACACTCAACGACGGCTGTACAAAAATGCTAGCACTATGCTAACATCCCTAACTTGTCCCAAACAGAGCTAGAATCATGGGCTAGCAGAATCTACAATCTTCCTCTGGTTTCATGACAGACAATGATCTGATTGCCATTAATGCACAGAAAAGCGCTGGCGTCACCTCCGGTCTCGCTGTTGGCTACAGAATAGCGCCATCATAAACTCGACAAGATGGGTTTCATCGCCATTGACGAGGCGATTAGACTAAAGGCAGAACGCTTTTCCGCGGTTCTAAAGCTCGAGTCACGCCCAAAGTGGGCAAAAGGATAGGCTTCATCGATTCAACATCGGATGTGGCAACATGGCACTTGTGCAGTTGTGACTTCTTACATAGTTAAGCACCCCAGAATAGGAATATTTAATTTCAAATGTACGCTATTTTACGATTGAGGGGTGAGAGGGATTAATATATTGTATGCGACGTATCAACAAGGAACCACTAATTTATTGCTATTGAGGAAGTATTCCAAGACTAGGGATTACTACCGAGGATATCGTCTGTACCGTTGTGGTAGCACATTGCTGTGGCTCCGACGAGTAAGGACCGGAAATGTTGCCGCTACGTGTGGATGAGCGGTACAACGACGAACAGAATTTAACTGCCGCCAGTTAACTGCCAATAAACGCCCAAAACTGCAGATGTGAAGAACCGACCAATCAAAGCACAGTACTACTTAATATTAGCCAATCACACAAGACCACCATCTCGTTAATTCCTAGCCTCTCAGTCCGTAAAATGGAGGCAGCCACAACACGGGACAAGAAGGACGAAGTGCTTTGCACGCAGAGTTAGCAGCCGTGGACGCTCTGATTGCTGCAGATACGATTAGCGGGAAGAAGTGCCACAAGCACTACAGCTTTAGGACGAAGCGAGAGGTACTGCAAGCCACAGTTGGCATGAGTGAGAGCGATACTGCTCGCTCGCAAGGTGCCCCGCGGTGGACCATTAGCGACTAGCGAAAGAAGAAAGAGGAGATCTTCGCCTTAGAAGGGAACGAGAAGACACTCTCGAGAGCACCGGGCCAGCCCGAGAGCGTGCTGTTTGGGATGGAGCTGATCACTTACATGAAGGACACCAGGCGTTACTGTCTACCTCTTACGACACGCTCTATGGCCGCTATTGTGCGCGATAGTTACTCCGCGTGGATGCTACTGTACGTCAGAGACAAGAAATATGAGTCACCGCTTCGGCTGCTTCGGCGGTTCGCATACCGCCACTGGTTTGTGCAGCAAACACCTAGCGGGTTAAACATGCTATTCAACTGTCACGATTGCTCTACAACTGTATTTTTCGCCACTAAAACCGATTATGTGCTCTTCATGTGTACTAGGAAACGTCGACGATCTTGCAGCCATTCAACTAGCGTTCGCCGTCAAATTTAACGAGAGTTTTGGTTCATACCAAGTGCTATCTTCAATACCGACGAAATCGGTATATATTATGACACTCCGCCGTCGAAAATCCTGTTACCAAAAGCTAAAGAAGCAAAACTATCTGCTCAACAAAAGCACTCGGCGAGAATGACAGCCGTTTGCACTTGGGGCTCTGTAAAATTGTCACTGCTTTTTTATTGTAAGAAGCACCCCAAATGGCCCAAATGGCACTATTAAAGATGAGGAACTTTCAACTTACTCAAAAGGTGCGATGCAGATTATATTTTCAAATTAATTTTTAATGTTACAATTGTCATGTGTTATCAGGCCATGTTTACGCTGTTCAAAAGAAGGCCTGGATGGACAAACGGGTGTGGGCTTTCTACCTGCGTTCGCTCCTCCACGACTACATTTCCTAGCCATCTGTCCTCCTCGTAGACTACCTTGAGGGCCACGTTTCCGCAGCATCTGATAAAATTGTTGTAGAAACTCCATCTCCGTATGCCAGCCGTTAGACGTAGGAATAGTGGGTCTTCTGAAGTCAAAGCTACGAGCTTTGCGGTTGGAAGAAACGGACAGGGCCACAACCTTGCACTAGAAGAGGGTGTCCACCATCAAACGAACCATCCGAGCGTGGGAGTCTATTAAAACCACCACCATGACCAAAGCTGTAAACAAAGCACTCGACAGTAAATTTTAGCTACAAAATATAACTGCCTTCATTGCGCTAAAATTTCGATAATACATATCTAAAACTAAACTATTTTGTCCAACGCGAGTAGTACGATCTGGGCTGACTCGCTTTTCTTATTCTGCTTAACTGTCGGTTCAACAATTCAGTGCTGACTGTTGCATTCTGTTCGTCGCTGTACAAGCGCTAACGCAATAAATGACAATTCAATGCCTTCCGAAGAAGTCAAAGCGTGATATAGAGTATGAATAGGAAGGAGCAAAACCAATACAACCGTATAAACGCTGTTATTATATTGTTTTGCTTATTGCTCGCGCAATATCGCCGAACCGTAAGAAACTTGCTTACCACTGGAAGACAACCGACGATTGCTGGATTCCACGCGGGACGTCTGGTCCGTGCTGCGCCAAGATCGGTTCATTGAAATTTCGCGCAATTCGCTCCTCAATCCAGATGGAGACCCAAGAGCAACGACAGACAGAGCATGGAAGTTTCGTAAAGTGTAGAAGTGCTCCAGAAGACTTTCGAACGTGGGTATATGGCACCATCGCACTTAGCGTTCGATGAAGCGATGTTACCGAGCTGGATGTCGCTCAACAAAATGCGCGCCTATATAATAGATAAACCACATAATTGTGGCACCAGGTTCTTCGCGCTGTGCAGTGCGGTGACCGCGTACTGCATTGGGTACGTTTTGATTTTGGGTCTAGTATTTCTTATGCATTTATGCAGGTTCACAGTATATTGTGGTAAGAAAGAACACTCGAGTGACACGCACAAGACGGACATGAAATCAGACCCTGCCGCAGTTGTACGAAATTTACTTGCTGTTTGGCGGCTCGCCGTAGACTCCACTCTCGCGTCGTCCTGCAGTAGGCTGCTTCCAGTCGGTTCGTTCACTTGGAAGAAAGTCTCCTGCTCCCCGTCACTGCCCTTCGGTGTAGTCGTCATGCTTCTTCTTCGTTCAGTCGATGTTGCTCCACCCGCAACTAAAGATATCTTTGTAGTAGGTTTCGAACACTACGAAGGAAGCTGGCGCTTCCTGGCAAACCAAAGCTCTGTTGTTGGTTCTAGGTTTGTTTCTAAGTGATCTCAGCGGCCATTCGGTTGGCCTCGGTGGTTACTTAACCTACATCCTATTGTTCTTATCTGCTGCCAGCTTGGTGCTGTCCGCCCGTCGACATCGCCCGGTGAATGGGCTAGGCTTGCTCTGTTCGCCCGCCACTATACTGGGTCACAATTTCGAAATGCTAGAAAAATATTTCGTTGAGTTTCAGTGAAAGACTCCCGCATATAATCATTCCAACACGGCTAATTTTCTCTACTCATTGTGCTACTTGCTTTGTACGAATAATTAGTGATAGCCTGCTGCCCTAATACTCATAACAAACGGTTCATCGTTTTTATCTTCACTACTTTATTGATCTTGCAGCCCGGAGTGCTCTCAAAGTTTGTAGTGTTGTTCGAGCACCACAACAATTTTTTTTTACTTGATATGTATCTGTATCGTTGTAGGAAGTCATTTATCAAAGTTAGAATTGCTCCTAAATAGCTATGTTAAAATGGTCTCATACGCATGGAATTCAGCTAAAAGACATTATGGTCAACTACCGGAACGTTTTACATGTAAGTTTATCTTTCAGTTAGACTACTCCAGAATATAGTTGCATTATATCCAATCTCGAGCATAATGAACTAAAATGCATTTTATTCGCTCTCTGTTTGCTCTCAAACTATCTATGATAGTATTTTACAATGCGCATTACATTGATCAAACTGGAGGTTTAGTCTTTATAGAGAAGCAATTAGGAATGTCAAAACCAAAAAATTAAGGATAAATCGATAAACGAAACGGTGGTAAAAAGGATAAAATCCTCCCGAAGCGACCGGAGGGACCTCGACAAACGCGACCAAACATTAATTACCGCCGAGTAGCAGCGGCCCTCGGATGCAAGCCTCACACAACGCACGTATAGTTAAAAAAAAATCATTAATATCATCAAATATTCAGATTGATGCGGATGCATTCTGCGAAGTTGCTGTGCTAAAACGGGTTGGACGAATGGTACCCCTGGCTACTGTGGGCGCTACCACCCCACATCTGTTGTGGGAATTTCTGTTGTTGTCCCTGTTGTGGCAACCCGCCATAAAGTAGAGCAGGGGGTGGGGCGTCAATCTCTGCAAACGGATCTACTTCTGGAGCCTTCGACATCATACTCGGGGCAGGAGCAGGGATCCCTTGAGCAGGAGGTGCATCGAAGTCAAAGACACTCGCCGGAGGGGCAACAGGAGCCTGTTGCATGGCCGAAATAGCGAACGGATCGACCTTTGTCGGACTTGAAGCAAAACCGTCGTTACCTCCGCTTTGACCAAACGAACTTGGCGACGGGAAGCTCGCAAAATCAGCGAAGCCATCTGTGGGTGCCGTCCAAGTTGTGTCAAATGCACTTGGTGCAGCCTTTGCGGATGGTGGTTTACTGTTTGAAATGGTGGGGTTGAAGTCCATATTCAACAGATCCGCAGCGTCCGAGGTCTTGGTTGCAACGGTTTCCTTTCTCGCTTCAGTCTTCTTAGTTGTTGCAGCTGAAGGCTTCTCCGCTTCGGGCTTGGCCTTTTCTTTCTTCTTCGTCACGCCGCGCCACGGTGGAAGAGGACGACCACAAATGACCTCATCAATGCACTCCATAACGTGCTCGATGGTCGCGCGCTTGTCAACGTCAGAAGTTAGCATGCGAGCAATAATAGCGTGCACATCCGGTGAATACGGGGAGTTCGATGGGATCGTGTAGCGGTCGGTGCGCAGTCCTTCGAGCGGGAATGGTGACTTGAAAAACGCCATGCTGTACAGGATACAGCCCATCGCCCAGACATCCACCGCCTCAGTGAGTTCCCCAGAGCCGAACATCGCAGTGCCTTCCACGTCTGCTAACTCAGGTGAACGGTACATGGCCGTTGTGCGTTTGGACACGTTGTCGGATTCGCGCATGCGGTCCGCTTTAGTGGCGAGCGACTGAGGGCCTTCCACACAAGACCCGAAGTCGCACAACTTGTACACATTCTCCTTACCCAACAGAAAGTTCTCTAGTTTAAGATCGCGATGCGCAATGGGGGGTTTCTGAGCGTGCAGCATCGCCACAGGCCTGTAGTTGCAACAAGTTAATGAGTTTTTCTAACAAAAATATCGTAGTTTACGTACTCGCAAAGACTTTTAAACGTACGCAGCAGCTCGTGCTGTGCGAAACGTTTAGCGCCCATCTTGACCATGTTTTCTTGGAGGTGTCCTCCGGGACAGTACTCCATGAGGATGAAGACCTCAGTCTTGTCACCACGAGCCTTGTTGGTTTGCGAAGCCACGAACTGCACCACTTGTGGGTGGCTCAGTCGCTGGTGCAGCCGAATCTCGCTGGCAATCCAATCCGCCGTCTGCTCGTTGTGAGCTACAAGACGCTTCAACACGAGCGGTGACGCTGTAGGAGGCGCCCGGACGTCCTTGACCAGGAAGATGAAGGACGAACCTCCTTCACCAAGGTATTGCACAGCCTCCACCTCGTGGCGACCAACCACCATGCGTTTGCCTACTTGCTGCTGCACGTTGCCCATGCTGAATAAAAAGATTGAAAACAAAAAGCTTGTCGAAGCACCAGCGAGGAAAATAAAGCTCTGAGACCAAAGCTGCTCTCGACGTCGCTTCATTCCAAAAACTGCCATTGCAGTGCACGTTTAAAATAGATTTCCGTCCTTGATTCTATTTTAATTTGATAATAAGTTGCAGCGAAAAACTACCCAGTCAAGTTGAAATATACTTCGAAGTAGTACTTACGTAAAGGGTTCTAAACTTTAAACCGGAACACAAATTTACGTCAATTAAAATATTTACTGACGAGGAATTCAACTTAGGGCGTATTGATGCCTGTCAGCGGAGCTAGTGAGTGACGACGAAATGTGGTGCGTCTTCGAAAAGGTTGTCGCGGTTCAGCCGCCTCCTTGCCTTCCACATCAATATCCTCTGGCTCGGGTATTGGTCGACGAAGCTTTTGCAGTTGCGGCAGGTTGTTCTTGAGGGCTGCAGTCGATTTGTACGGGGAACGCGGGTCGAACTGGCCACCTCTGGGACTCAATACACGTGCACCCAAGGGTATGGCTTCGTCAAGACTAGGAGCGGGATTGTTGTTTAGAAGCTGGTTGCTACTCGAGCTGGAGGTGTCAAGAGTATCGGTTCCGCGTCGACGAGGTGAACCCAGACGTGTGTCCGCGGCATTAGACGGCGAGAGAGTGGATGAAACATTGGACTGTGGAGGTGACAACGTCCCATACATGGACTTCCCACTGCCACTGCTGCTGCGGTTGGCATCAAACAGCAGTGTGGTATCCTCGCGAGAGCGACGTAGCAGCTCGTCCGATCCATACAAGTCAGGACTGGTGTACGAAGTGACCATGTCTTCGCCATCTTCCTCTTGCTCGTATCCAACAAAATCGCATAGATCAACTGAGCTAGCCGAGTGTGACGAAAGCTGCGATAATCGTAAGTAAAAAGCGAAAAAAAAAGGTAAAAAATGGAAGAACAAAGCAAAAAAAAAACAAGAACGTACCGAGCTCGTGACGCGGCGGTGGCAAGTTATTACTGTAGTTGCTGTTGAAGCGATGCTTTCATTCGACGTGCGTAGTTCACTTTCCTTGACTGGACTGATCGTTGCACCTTCGTGATTGAGTCTTATGCTCGGGCTAAGCACCAGAGCTGTGGTCTTACGACGGCCTTTGAAATCATGATGCTTGGGTCCACTTAGCTTTTCTTCAAAGCTGTTGAGACAAGTTCGAGAAGCTCGAATTGCGGCTGTGAGACGTGGACTCGGTCTTATAGTCCGCTGTTCACTGATGCCGAGCGAAAGTGTACGCAAGAGTATCGGAGCTGGAGCCGGGAAGGCCAATTCGTCCTGATCCATGGCGTTCTTCTCACTCTTGATAGGTGACAAAGCCGGCGTTGACGCGGAGGGTTGACACTCACTATCGCTTGACATGAGATTCGTTCTCATCCATTCTTCTTGTTGCTGTTTCAGAAGTTGTTCTTCTTCGAATTTATGTTGCAAGATATTCTGCAACGACTCCTGTTGCTTGAGAATATCTCTCTGAGCCACAGGAGACGCAGGTGCTTGGAATTCCAGAGCTTTAGGCACCACTTGGACCGCAGGAGCTTTCCCAGCACTCGTCGGTGCAGCCGCAGCCATTTTCTTTGACACTTGGATACGAAGATCATCACGTCGTGACGTTGGTCGAGCACCTGCACTAATAGGAGGAGGCGGCACTCCAGCTATTAAACCAGACGCCGGAATAGGTAAACTATTTGGTGGTTGCTGGAACAGATTGTGTCGCTGTCGTAAAGAGGACGGCGATACAATTGGAGAACTGGAATACTCTAGAGGAGGAGGACGAGCGGGTTTCTCTGTATTTTCTTCCTCTGGCAGTTCCGGTCCCTGTATAAACCGCGTGCGAGGGCGATGGAACGAGTATGGGTGTCCGTGTTGATCCGGTGGTGATGGGGATCTCGCCGTCAATGTCGTTGTAGCAATGGAGTTCCTCTTCCTTCGCCATCTTGTTCCAGGAACTGGAGATGATGTGTATTCCGGAGGAGTTGCCATCGGTTGAACTGGTCCAGGCTCATTAAAATTTAGTCCCGATGTGTCAATCCGAGGCAGTCGCTGTTTGGCTTGTTGTGCTTTGGTGACAGATCCTGCTCCCCATGGAGTTGAAGCTCGACGCCGTGTCAGTCGTACAACATTATTTGCACCCGTTTCCACCTCTTGGTTAGTTTCAATAGGCGACACTTGTTCGTCTTCCTCTTCTGGGACTTCGATTTTACCCATTTTGAGACACAATTCAATCTCCGTTTGACCCAATTTCAACTTGTCCCCATCGTGCACCACTACTGCGTCATTGTGGACTTTGTGCTCATTATTGAGAATTGAGCCTCTTCTGCTGTGGTCGCTGTAGACCCAAACGCCTAATCCAGTGGTGCGTTCAAGTGTTCCATGGGTATCATCCACCCCACGGTCATCTCGAAACTTGAAATTGGCTTGTAATCCTGTACCTAGCACGATCCCGTTGCTTGCGTTTGGGTATAAAGGCTCTGTTTCGAGATCTTGGGTCTGTTGGTTGTTGTCGGGCGACCAACGCACCCGCAGCACGATCATGGACGGAGAAGCGCTCGGCATGCGCTGAGGAAGTCGAAGAGGGACTTGGAGAAGAGGAGGAAGCGGGTGAGGCGTGCTAACCGCCCGACTGGTCGATTTATTGACCGCTTTTTCGAAATGCCCTTGAGTTACTTGGCGTTTGTATGCTGATTACATGAAATGATTGCTGAAAAAGGTTTTTGACGTTTGTATCATGATTTTTTTTTCAAGTTGAAAATGCTCCAACTTTCTGAGAAAGTGTAGTGCAACTTTCTAGCGTTCATGTAACATTCTAGTGCACATGTAACTTTCTAGTTTTGAAAAATAAAATTTGCACTACGAATTTCGCAGTACTGGCTCAAGCTTTAGCGTGCACCGCGTAGTGAAAATGGTAAGGAATATCGTGACGCACAGTACTTGCTTCGCGCTGACAGACGCCAATAGCTTCACGGCATTGTGCGGACCGCACAGTGCGGTATGTCACTCCACAGACATTTACGAACGGCAACTGGAACAGGCAGGAAGCCCGATCGAGCACCGATACCGGTATTATACGCGTAGCAAGGCAAGCTCCTATGAGTGCGTTGCGCGGTGCAACTTGCACCTGCATCCGATCAGACCATGAGTGCTTTTTGCTTGAAGTGGCAGCAGATGCCCCGCTGGATCCGTGCGAAGACCGCATGTGCATCGCGCGCAAAACTTTGGCCAAGGACCGAATTGAGAACACCAGCGTTGATCATGTTGTGTAGATTCGCAATGTCCACGCTGGCACGTCCTCTGCAGGACATGCACTTTGTGAAGAGTCAGCAAAATCGAGTTGATCCCCAAAGCACGAGCCAAAGCGGCACCATGAAAGCGTAGCTTTTCAATTCCAAATGGTACACCAAGCAGTCCAGTTTCTTGTTGTGTGTCTCTGCGGGAACTCTGCGCATAAACGACAGGGAGGAAGTTGCTTCAGATGGGAAGTTCGGTCTTTTACGCATTTTGGATCGATTTTGAGCGATCCCAGCTGCTACGGCGGACGTGGCTATCCCCGCACAGTTCGCAATTCAGCGTGGCGCTCCTGGTCCCCGCTCCAGTCTCTTTCAGCGCCAAAACAGCACAACCGCTTCTCGCTTCACCGAGAACCTGCTGGCACCAGGAAGAACGCTAGCAACTTTCAGGCCAGCGGTGGACGCGAGCTGTTCGATTCAGAGTCACGCAGAGAGATCAACAGGTTTTTAACGGTCACATCGGAGACTTTCAGTCATGAGGAGGAGCAGATGGAGGAATCGCATGTTCGCGATGCTAGCGGCAGTACAGGTGGCGACAAATTTCGTCTTGGCGGCGTCGGTGACGGCGGATTCTTCGGACGGTAGTAGCAGTGGGTCGGGCAGTTTAGAGGCGCTCAAGGCGCAGCGTCAGGAATGTCTCGCGTCTCCACCGACTCAAATCACGTTGACACAGAGCGCGTCGTCGGCCAGCGCGGCGTATGTCATCTACAAGGACTGCGCCATCTTGACCATCCGCGCAGACACGCAGAGCGACGGCACCGCGTCCATGGACGCGTCTGGACAGAAGATTGAGATCGTCCAGAGCTTCCCCGAAGTCGACTCGCTGTAAGTATCGTCAATGCTCGGAGGTGCGGACGAAGTTAATAACGCTATTGTCGTGTACAGGGATCTATCGGGTAACAAGATCGGAGTTATTCAACAAGCCGACAGCACATCGATCTCGACATTGTAAGTGTGAAATTTGTGATAAATGGCAGCTTTTCAAGTAAAATATTCTGACTGGGTTGTGCTTGTACAGGGATATCTCCGAAAACGGTATTAAGGACATGACCAACATTTCGATTCCCAGCAGTGTCACTGTCCTGTACGGCGTGAATATCTTTGCTTTTTATTAATTTCTCAAAGTCTAATGTTATTTTTGTGTTGATTTTTTCAGGAATATGGACGATAATCAGCTTACGGCGTTATCGGAAGGCGATATCCCGGAAACCGTGACGTCCATTTCGATCCGAAACAACAGCATCACGTCCTTGCAGAGCTTCGTCATGAGCGACCAGGCCCAGTACATTGACTTGAGTGACAACTCGATGACAAAACTCTCGAGCTGGCAAATGCCGACAAGTTTGCAGTCTTTCAGGTGTCAGGACTGCGGCATCAAGATCATCGCCGGTGTGGTCTTTCCGACTGCCATGTCAACTTTCGATCTCACAGGCAGCAACGTGGAAACATTCGAGGTTGCCAACTCCAGCGTCGCGGCTCTCGAGGCAGTGGACGACCTCGTAGTCACGACAATTGGAGCCAACTGCAGTGACAGCCAAGCCACATCGCTAGTGGCTCGTTCGATGAATCTGTGCGTGCTTCCAGACGGATATTTCGACGCCAAGTACCTTGTAGGCGGGTCAGACTCCTCGACTGCTGGTAGTGGGCCCAACCCTGCTGTTGGGGGTGAAGGAGGAGGCGGTGGTGGTCTCAGTAATTGGATGATGCTGGCTATGATCTGCCTTGGAGCCATGATGGCCTGTATCCTCGGTGGTGTGGTGTTCGTCATCTTCCGGCGTAGACAAAAAGTTCGGGATGAAGAGCTGAAAGAAGCCGAAAACCTGGAATTTGACCCGGACGCTTCGTCCTCTTCCAAGGCGACTAAGTACATGCCTAGTCACTTGACTGGCATGTCAAGAACTGGCCGAACGGACTCAGTACCGGAGGCGATGCTGAGTGAATCGAATGCCAACTATGTGCTGAATGACATTCGCACAGACGACGATATTATGCAGTGCAGGCTACTGCAGGAAGAAGTTGTACGTGGGAAATTGTTGGCTAAAGGAGGCTACGGTGCAGTCTATCTGGCCACGTTCCAGAACGAGAAGGTTGTGACCAAGCAATTATTACCTGAACGTGCACGTGACAAGCGCTGGTTGGGCAGCTTCATGGACGAGATTCGTCTCTGTTCGACGTTGGATCACCCTAAAATTGTTCACTTTATCGGCGTAACTTGGAGCTCGATGATCGATATCTCTATGGTCATGGAGTACATGCCACGTGGGGATCTGAGTACCATGTTACAACAGCAACTACAGCGCGAACTCCGCGATGAATACGCTCGAGATGGCTACAGTTGGTTCCACTCGGTCGGTGAAGGACAAAACCTCAAGTGCAAGTCGCTTATTGCACTCGATATCGCCGAAGCTTTAGTCTATTTACATTCGTTTGAAAGTCCGATCATCCACCGAGATCTGAAGCCTAAGAATGTGCTGCTGAGCGACACGTGGGAAGCCAAACTCACGGACTTTGGCATCAGTCGGGAACTGGATGAAGATCAAACTATGACAGCAGAGATCGGCACAGTGTCCTGGATCGCTCCAGAGGTGCTACGTGGCGAGCATTACTCGGAAAAAGCCGACGTGTACTCCTTTGGCGTCATTTTGACAGAGCTGGACACATGTCGTCGGCCTTACTCGCAGGGTATCCCAGGCGAGAGCAACCGTGGCGGCAACAACAAGACGTCGAACACTCGCATTGCTGTGCTGGTTAGTGCTGGAACGTTGAGACCCGAAGTGCATGTGGATTGTCCTCGTAGTGTCCGTAACTTGGTGGACAAGTGCTTGGCGTTCGACCCGGAGGATCGACCGTCGGCTCTTCAAATTCACTACGAACTACGCAACTTGGAGCTGGGAGAAGAGGAGCTGTTGGCATCGGCGAGACGCATGACGCGGACGCAGTCAAAGAGCCTGGGGGCGAGTCATTCAGCCCACCCATTCCAATCTTCGTAAATCTTTGGGAAACGAGAGACCGTAAGCAGCTAAAAACTGCCTTTGAAGTTATTTAATGAAAAGATTTCTGATGTTCGTTACTAGAATGTTATTTTTTTTAACTCTGGAATTGTCGTCATGGGCGAGATCCAGCGCTAGATCCAGCGTGAGTCAAGCATGGTGGACTGTGGGCTATCTCGTGAATGCATTATGCTGCGGCAAATCGTACCAAGACCGACGTCTTTCTCCTTTTCGAGAAACCAAAGTTACGTCGATTAAGAAATTTGCTACATGTGTGAATACCGCGAGGTTGCGACTGGCGGCTGGAAACCCCGAGCGTTGCATGGCTCCGCCTGGTGTTGAAAGCCCGATGGCCTGCATTGTTCTGTTGGAAGGTGTCGAACCTGCTGTCCGATGTAACAATGGTGCAAATCTGGTGGACTGTGCCTGGAAGAAAACTTTCGGATGGGGAGCGGACTGTGCCTTGTGTCGTGCATCAAAAACCGAGCACTGTGTGAGGCTCAGTTTACTATTCGAACGTGATCTCGTTAGGTAGGAGTCTCGACGTCGGCCGGGTGGAGCGGGGGCGTGCTAATGAGACGACCACTCCATCGACACGGACTGGCGCCGCTTGTCGTGCTCTCAGCGGTTCTGGTTAGTCGGACAATTGCTCGAGTTTTCCAGACGGACGCATGTGAGAAGCCAGCGCCGACACTAGCAACTTTGCGACGGAGTGAGGATAGCGCGTCGAATGCTGAGGTTGTGTATCAAAACTGCACGGTGGTGAAAATCAGCTCCACGTCCAGCAACGGAACGACGACGATCGATGCCAGCAATTTGGAGATCGCAGCAATCTCGAGTTTCCCGGCCGTGACCACCGTCGTATTATCAGGAAACCAGGTCACCACTATCTATGAAGACACCGAGGCCACCGTCAAGACGTTGTACGTGGTACTACAGTACTCCCAGGTCCCTCTGTTCGTGTTGCTTATCTTCTTTATCGCAGGGACTTGTCGACGAATGGACTCAGCGCTTTGGACGCCTTATCAATCCCCAGCAGTGTCACCCGACTGTACGAATCGATTGATACACCAGAACGTGGTGCATTTTACTGACATCGTTACATGTAACAGGGTATTAGACAACAACTCGATTAAGAGTCTCGACGACGGAGAGATCCCGGATACTGTCACTACTTTGTCTTTGAAGAACAACGGCATCGTTGTCCTCACCAGCTTCACTTTCAGCGATACCCTCGTAGTGCTTGATACGAGTCAGAACACTATTCACGATCTGTCCAAGTGGCAAATGCCGACCCAGCTTCAGGTTTATTCATGTATCGACTGCGATATTGAGAAACTCTCGGGCGTGACGTTGCCATCCTCCGGTTCGCTGACTTCTCTCGATCTGGAAGGCAGCACCGTCGACTCTTTCGAGGTCGCAAACTCGAGCATGCCGCTTCTAGCAGGCCTAGGTTGGTTCAAACTGACAGTGTCAAGCTCCAGTTGTAGCGACTCAAGTGCCACTCAACAACAGGTGCAGACCGTACCTGTTTGTATCCTACCCGATGCAGTATACAACAGCAAGTTTGTGATCTCAGACTCAAATGGAACTCCTGGACCGCCTCCGAATGGCTCGGAGCCAATCGGTGCTAGTGCTTCCGAGACTACCGCTTCATCTGGCTGGATGTTAGTGGCGATGATTTCAGGCGCAGCGCTACTTTTAGTGGTCATTGGCGGTGCAGTGGGATATCTCGTGTTCCGGCATCGCCGCACAAACGAGAAATTCAAGGACTACACGGCGGACAGGAGCTCTGGATTTCGGTCTATAGCTGAAGCTCGTACCACCACGAACCCCACGACTCACACGTTCTTCGAACGGACATTAAATACGGGAAATATGGCAGCAGAAGAGCATTCCGATCTGGACGATACTCTTGTCAGTACGAAGCATCGAGGGATGAACAGCACCATGGCCTCTTCTACTTCCACTCATGTACCATTACCACTGTCCTTAGACAACGATATTCGCACGGATCAGGAGATGCGGGGCTTCCGTTTGATGCACGAAGAAGTGGTTCGAGGCAAGTTAATTGCCAAGGGAGGCTATGGTGCTGTATACAAAGCTACGTTCCGTGACAAGACTGTGGTTACCAAGCAACTCCTGCCAGAACGAGCTCGTGATCCGAGAATGTTGAACGACTTTATGGACGAAATCCGGACGTGTGCGTCGCTGGATCATCCGAAGATTGTGAGATTTATCGGCTTTACCTTCACTTCTCTAGTGGATCTCTCTGCAGTGTTTGAGTACATGCCCAATGGAGACCTCGCTACACTGCTACAGAAGCAACTTAAACGCGAGACGCGTGATCCATCGGCTCGTGACTCTTACGGCTGGTTCAGGTCTATGAAATCCAACAGAGGAGGCCTCAAATGCAAGTCTCTCGTAGCTCTCGACATCGCTGAAGCGCTCGTGTATCTACATTCCTTTGAGAGTCCTATGATTCATCGAGATCTCAAGCCGAACAACGTGTTGATGAGTGAGAAATGGGAAGCTAAACTCACGGACTTTGGAGTAAGTAAGGAACTCACAGAGGACCAGACGATGACTGCTGAGATCGGTACGATCTCCTGGATTGCACCCGAAGTGTTGCGTGGAGAACGGTATTCAGAGAAGGCGGATGTGTATTCTTTTGGCGTCATCATGACCGAGTTGGACACGTGTCGTCGACCGTACTCCGAAGGCGTCCCGACCGACAGCAACCGCGGTGGGAACATCAAACACACGAACGCTCGTATCGCTGTGTTAGTGAGTGCAGGCAAATTAAGACCGTCGCTGAGCCCGGACTGTCCTAACAG